TAGTATTTTGGCAACACTTGCCCATTTCTGCATTAATAATACTCCTGGATGCTGGAAGTTTTATTTTGCCCACTAATCTGTCCTTGATATGGATATTATAAATTATATATAGGTAAAAGTCCTTGGATATATTACAGCAATATGGGTAGATTGTTAAATTAGTCATTGCAGAATCCTTTGAAAATCTAGGCAGCAATGTGCAAATGCAAAATTTATAACTGGAGCAAACAAAAAGAAACTGATGATTCCTTAAGGATACTGATGTTTTTGTGGTTTCTTCTTTTTGTTGTCATCACCAGAGATTTATATAACATTTGGGGAAATTTTCAATATTTAATCATAAGCATTCTTATTCCAGTGTAGGCTATACAGACAGGCCACTCTAAACTAGAGGCTGGACAAATTACTTCTTTTTTTTAATTGGGGTATATGTTTGCATAAATGCCCATGTGTATTAAAATTTCTAATAAATACATGCATTGATAAGGCAATAAGATTAATGAAAAATTTAATAATTTTACTTTTCATAGTGGTAAACATGTTGTAAAATCCCCTAAACAAGAATTATAAACTGTGGGGGAAAAGGAAGGGGATAATCTTTTATTTGAGTATTCCAACAATTTTTTTTTTAAATGTTTATTTTTGAGAGAGACAGAGAGACAGAGAGAGAGACAGAGTGCCAGCAGGGAAGGGGCAGAAAGAGAGGGAGACACAGAATCTGAAGCAGGCTCCAGGCTCTGAGCTGTCAGCACAGAGCACGACGTAGGGCTCAAACTCATGAACCGCGAGATCATGACCTGAGCCAAAGTCAGACGCTCAACCAACGGAGTCACCCAGGCACCCCAGTAAATTATTTCCTAATTTGTTTTCTTCATGGAAATATGTTGCTAAAAGCCTACATCATACAAATTACAGAGGCACTTTTGTAGGTGTCCAAAGTATAATCATTGTTTAAGTCATTCCAGTGAAATAGAGTTTGTCATTTTTATTTTCCATTTCCTATTTCGAGGACTCTGAAAATGGGATTACTTAAGTAATATGTATTAGTTTAATTTGGTTTCTTTTGGTTTGTTTTTTTAGTGTTTTAATGTTGGATTTTTAAAAGTAAATGCTACTTTTTGTTATTTGAGTTTCTTAGGTTTCTATGCACCCTATTAATTCAGTTCAGGTCAATTTGTTTAAAATGAATTTAAAAAAAATATAGGACATGGTTCCTACCACATAGACATTTATGGTTAAATTGGAAAGACCAGATTTATTTGCATGAACCAGTTTATCTCCTGTTGTTTTTTATATAGCACTAATGTAAGAAATTGTCAGGAAGATTTTGTGATGCCTATGTCAGGATTTGAATAATGAGTAGTGTTTGGATAGGAAGCAAATAGCAGTGATTCTTATATTTGATTTGGGAAGGGGTAGTAGGCTCGATAGTTTTAGTTTTGTGTTTGAATGTGGATGTTTATTTTTCCAGGTCATCCAGAATTGTGTTATTGTCTAAAACACAGTATTTGATGTGATAAATCATTCGGTTTGAATTCTGTTAGCATATAGTGAAATGATTCAAATTATTTAGTATATATCGTAAGACTCAGAATTTTTTTTAGCTTAAGTTAATATTTCACTTTAACAAAAAATTATGAAATTATAAAAACAAATAATGTAGTACTCTCTTTTAAAAATTATCACATTAGGATTCAGGGCAATTATATGTTTATACTGATTTTTAAAAAGTTGGCTTGAATACAGTTTTCTTGACTCCTAATTTACTGCTGTTTCTTTGTGAATACAAATGTCTTGTTAATTTTCATTAAATAAAGTAAGCATGATTTTCTCATAAAATGCTGCAAACCAGCTTCAAAATGCTTCTTTAATTTTCCAGATTCATATATATATATATATATATATATATATATACACACACACACATATATATGTATATATATATTTAATGGATTTCAAACAGCAGCTGGTTTAGTTTGATAGGCTTTCAATTTTGCTACTTCAGTGAAGATTTAGGAGGAAAAGACGCTTAACAAGAGAGAAAAGAAAAAGAGGAGAAGAGGTTAGAGAAGGAAAAGGAAAAGAAAAAGATATCATACGGAGAGCTAGTTTAGGGATGAAGGAGCCCCAGAGAACAACGGAGGAAAGGAATAGAGTCTCAAGATGGATAGAAAGATCTGTCTGGGTTGAAGGAGACAGGAATTGGGGCAGGAGTCAAGAGAAGAGTGAAATTTGATAGGTAAAGGGGCTATGACATATAATGGGGTTTTCTCAGGAAGGTATATTACTAGAGAGAGTACTATTCCAAAGATATTCTCTTTAAAGAGAAAAATTCTGGGGGCGCCTGGGTGGCGCAGTCGGTTAAGCGTCCGACTTCAGCCAGGTCACGATGTCGCGGTCCGTGAGTTCGAGCCCCGCGTCGGGCTCTGGGCTGATGGCTCAGAGCCTGGAGCCTGTTTCTGATTCTGTGTCTCCCTCTCTCTCTGCCCCTCCCCCGTTCATGCTCTGTCTCTCTCTGTCCCAAAAATAAATAAACGTTGGAAAAATAAATAAATAAATAAATAAATAAATAAATAAATAAATAAATAAATAAAAGAGAAAAATTCTGGAAAAACATGATTACAATAGGGAAGAATACTTGAGCTTTATGTGGGGAGGTCAGTCACAAAGTGATCACATAAATATGTTCACCTTATTTTTTCTTAACCCTCACCTGTTTGTTTATTTGACAGCTAATTTGATACCTTTCTACAAAATCTGATTGTGTTGGCCACACATTGGCATCAATTTTTAAAGGAGGCACTATGTTCAATAGTACACTGGCAAAAAAAATGAATAAATAAATAAATAATACACTAGAGAACTGATAGCTTGCTATGTCTCTCAGACATGAATTGGCAGCTTTTCTGAACTAAATTTATTTCTCATAAATTTGAGTGGGCGATATATTGTTTAATTTATCGTATGGAACCTCAGTCTTCAATACCACTATCTCAGAAGCCTAGCTTCACCTCCCAAGAGTAGATTAACAGATCGTCTCAAAATACAGTGTCATACTACCATATTTTTCTCTGTATTATTAATCACTATTGTAAATAAATATATTTCCGGTATTACTTAGAAAACGTATGTCTCTCCCTTTAGACTTCAGACTCCATGAAAATGGGTATTGTTGGGGCACCGCTTGGCTCAGTTTGTTAAGTGTTTAACTCTTGATTTTGGCTCAGGTTCATGAGATCAACCCCACATTGGACTCTGTGCTGACAGCATGGAGCCTGCTTAGCATTCCCTCTCTTCCTCTCTTTCTGCCCTTCCCCTGCTCACACACTCTCTCTCTCTTTCAAAATAAATAAATACATAAAAAATTTTAAAAATTAAAAAAACAATAAAATGGATATTGTGTATTTCTCATTCATGATTCTAACCCCAGCACTGAGCATGGTGCCTGGCAGAAAGTACATACTCAAGAAATAATTGTTGAATGCATCAATAAGTAAATACTACACCATGCCAGAGAAAAAAATAAATACCAAATTAAAATATGAGGTTTGTTTTCTTTGATATTAGCCCAAACATTCTTATCTTCACGAAGATTTCCTTTTTTTTTTTTTTAATTTTTTTAATGTTTATCTTTGAGAGACAGAGTAAGAGACAGAGCGTGAGCAGGGGAGGGGCAGAGAGGGAGACACAGAATCTGAAGTGGGCTCCAGGCTCTGGGCTGTCAGCACAGAGCCCAGAGCTGTGCTCAAACTCATGAACTGTGAGATTATGACCTGAGCTGAAGTCAGACACTTAACTGACTGAGCCACCCAGGTACCCCAAAGATTCATTTTCAATTTAAAAAGGTAGTATTAGAAGACACTGGCATATTCTAATTTATAGTTAACCTATTATTTAAACAAATAAACATTTAAATTTCTTTTATTTTCTAATAGAAGCTCTCTTTAATTCCTTATTGTCAAACTGCTAATAGTATGATCATTCCATTATCTCATTTAATCCCCTTCAGGAGGGTGCTAAAATTATCTTCCATTTTACAGTTGAAAAACTGAGGCCTGGAGAAGTTAAATACCTTGTTCACGTTCATACAATTAATATGACTGTGTATTAGAGCACTGGGTATGTACCAAGGAAATTGCCCAAAACAAGAATTAATATATTCATGGTAATGCTGAATGTGGTAGTATAAGATTATACTTAAGAATTGTGGTTTTGGATTTACTTAAAAGATTCAGTTTCATCTGTACCTGTTATCCACGTGACCCTGAGTATTTTATTTAACTTTTCTAAATTTCCATTTCCTCAGCCATAAAACGTACTTGATATCATAGCCTCATTAAAGTGAGACTATATAATATGTGGAGTCTGGAAGCCAGTAGAGACTCAGGGAATTTGAATTCCTTTTTTCTTTCCTATTTAATATTTACATTTCCCCTTTCTATTCTACTCTAGCCAGCCTACCAAAAGCCAGTTCCCTTTGCAAGAATGTGTACAAATACACATTAGAGAGCTATATGCTATTTAGTAAGTTCAAGGCGAATTTGAAAACTGCTGAAGGAAGGATGGTTGAAATTTAAATATGACTAATACCAGCTTTGTACTATTTTACTTGGTTTCCCACCCCAGAACACACACACACACACACACACACACACACACACACACACACACACAACATTTCCTGAGGAACTAGGTACTTTTCTTTTTGCACCCTGCCTTAATTCTGTCCCCAGTTCACCTCCTATCTGGATTACTTATCCATTTTTAGTCTTAGAGTATATTATTGCATATTGAAAACAACTTTCATAGTGTTCTAAATATTTATATCTTTATATAAACAATACCAGTAATATCCTCAAATGTTGCCCTAAAATATTCATCATTTGGGGGTGATAGTCAAGGAAAATCTTCTTGTAGTCACTATGGTCTATGAAATTATAGTTATTTTGGACTGGAAATGAAAACTAATTACCAGATGCCTATGCTTATATATCTGCAAGGTCTTTCTTCTCCTTCATCTGTATTTTTCTCATTTATTTTTGATGCTGTTCAGATGTATTTATCTATAAGTTGCCTCAAACTATCTTTTGAAATGAAACTGGCTAAGTAAAAGTAAATAAGTATTTTATACCTAATTATAAATCTGAATAGATGGTGGGAAATTATCAAGTTCAGGAATGTATTTGTGTATAATACAAGTATTATAATAGCTTGTTTAAATATTAATTTATTAGAAACAAATCAATTAGGGGCACCTGGGTGGCTCAGTCAGTTAAGTGTCCAACTCTTTTATTTTGGCTCAGGTCATGATCTTGTGTCTTGTGAGATTGAGCCCCACATCAGGCTCTGCACTGACAGCATGGAGCCTGCTTGGGATTCTCTCTTTCCCTGTCTCTGCGTTTCTCTCTCTCCCTCCCTCCCTCCCTCCCTCCCTCCCTCCCTGCTTCCCTCCCTCCCACTCTCTCCCTCCCTCTCAAAAAATAAATAAACCATAAAAAAAAAAGGAAATCAATTAGAAGGGAAAAAATGAAAAAGCAGAAGCATATGAGCAGTTAATGTTTCTAAACTTTTACTATTAAAATAAGTTTTAAAAAGCTGACTACCTATTATGGTTTAATCTTTGTCAATAATGTGTATTTATATATGTTCAAGTCACTGTCACTTGTTTTGATCTGGAGCAGAAATTATCTTCATTCTAGAGGTAAGGGAGGATTTTTTAATCTTGTTTGAAAGACATGGATATGTGTGTATCTAGGTACTTTTGTCTATATGTATTTAAATATAATTAGCTAATTTATAGTGATTTCTTCTGGAGAAGAGCAATGTTTTGTTCAGATGAGATGTGTAATAATTTCACATAATACCTTACCTATGTTTCACCAGAGAGAGTGACTTAGTTTGGCTTTCTGGTTTCTTGACCTGCTCAACTTTTTGGAGCCTCTACTTTGAAAAAGTCCTAAGTTCTCTCCAAACTTTAGTAGGATATTTTATAGGCATTAATGCTTTGAAAAAATCACTTTTGGTAACAATCTTTGTGAGGAAGCAGAAAAATATAGAGCAATTTACAAACATATGAATATTAATTTCTTAATCACAAAGGGTAATTATTATCAGAGTGGGTTATTATTTGATTTATATTTGTCTCTTTCTTTTATATTGGACTGAAAACTTTCACTTTTGCTCTCACTGCTAATCCCTCTGGTCCCGTACTCCTCCCCAAACACACACACACACACACACACACACACACACACACACACACACACCTGCATGTGCACACACACATGCACATACATACACAGGTAAAAACACAAGCCCCTTCAAGTTTGCCTTTCCTAATCTTACTTGAGGAGGTAACCATCCTTGTTAAGAATATAGATAAAATGAGAGAAAAAAGAGACTTGAAATTTTTCAAGTATTTTTTTAAGCAAAAGTATAATTGGATATTTAGCATATAAAGGTACGATATGCTATCTTTTCCTACTTATTTCCTAGAAAATAACTGATTAGACTTATAGGTAATAGAAATAGAGGTAATTTTTATAAAATATTTAATAAGCTAAGTACAATTTAGGCCTTCAGGGAAAGAAAACGTGTTGTGATATTGAATGTAGATAACCAGGGCTCAGTGGATATAATATGATTAAACAACATATTAATTCAAATAAAATAAAGTTGTGTGGGTTGAAATACAGAAAATAATGTGATATTGAAAACTTCAAAATCATATTTTATAATAACCACCTGTGTTCTGAAATTTATATTATTACAGATTTTTAGTAGTTGAATTAACAATCTGTCTCACTAACATTTTGTGCTACTTGCTACCTAATTCTATTTGAAATTAATGTATACAATAGCCTCAATATAATTCTCAGTGTCTGAAAATCTAGATACATTTTATCATTGGTGACACTACTGTCTAGTATTGGATAGGATCATTAGATTATATTGATCATTTCCAGCTTCTCACTTAATCATTTTCTATTGACTGACAAAGTATAATTTATTTGACAAAGTATAAGCAAAAAAATACATTTTTTTCTTTAGTGATTAATTAAATTTAAATTCACATGTGAGGTGTTTTTTTTTTTAATTTTAAAAAATAGAATAGGTAGATATTACCTGCTTTTCAGTGGCAAGCCTCAATAGAGTATCTTCCTTTTGAAAATGTTATTTTTATTCTACTTCAGACTCTGTCCTTTTATTTGACATACCATATCTTCTTCATAAAAGAAAGTCTTAAAGTTCCTTCTCTGCTCAAGTTAGATTTACTGCCAGAGTTGAAATACCCCGATCAAAGCATGTGGTTTAGGGGCACCTGGGTGTCTCATTCGGTTGAGCATCTGGACTTTGGCTCAGGTCATGAGCTCATGGTCCCTGAGTTTGAGCCTCACATTGGGCTTACTGCTGTCACAGTGTCAGCTCAGAGAGCACTTGGGATCCTCTGTCCCCTTCTCTCTACCCCTCCCCTGCTTGTGCTCTCTCTCAAAAAACAAAAACAAACAAACAAAAAACCACACACACGCACATTAAAATAAAAATGTTGTTTTTGTCTCATGGTGTTACGATGTACTGTTCGATAGCTATTCAGCTTCAAAGCTTCTAGAATAACTAAGAAAAAATTATTTTATTTATATTTTTATATTTAACTACTCTTCAATAATATCTCCTACTAATTATACAATACCAGTAGTTTTAATAACATCCAGTGGACAAAGTTGCTTACTTTGAAAATCTCAAAAGTTACTCAGGACCAAAAATAAAAACATGTATGCAAATTGGTTTAAATTACAAAGTGTAACTTCAGCTAATAAATGTTGTTATATCTGATTATACTTGCTCACCAAGAAAATTGGACTATGTTTTATTTCATCGTAAAGTTCATTGGCAGAATGTGAGACAATCAACAGTTTTTGATTTTAGGGATATTTTCTAAAAACCTTAATATTGGAATTATCTGTGGAACAAAATTTCCTTAATAAATTTTCATTACTTGATTACAGGTTGAATATTTCAGACATCTAAATCAATTAGAATCATGATTATTTTGATTGCCAGAAATTCTTAAATGTATATATTATACAGCCAATATTCATTTTTTACATCAGACACCTGCGATTTAAACATTTTTAGTGGTTTATGATTCACAAGAAAGCTGAAGTTTATTAGCTTTTTCTGGATTATAGAGATTTTGTTTTTGCTTAATAAAAAAATATGAGTAAACTAATCAATTAATTTGGCAGTGTAGATGACATAGTATTGGTTTCTAACTTACCTGTTAATTAGTTTAAGATATAAAGCTAATAACTAACATAGGTTACTTCTCATACACATTCTTCCTGGTCCCCAAAGTATATATTATGGTGGTATCACCTTCTTAAATTTAGCATCTAACTCTTCTAATTATTTGGAAACTAGGCTTTGGTTTCTAAGAATAAGTTTGAAAGCCTTGTGTCAGTGCAGAAATCTTAAAAATCAAAGTCCTACCTAGTCTGCTGGAACACACCAGAATAAAACTGTGCTCCTAAATTTTGCTTTATATTTTATGGGACTCTAATCAACTGGATATATCAACTGTGTTATGGGCTGTCTGATGACATTTTGAGGTAGAAAATATGAATTGCATTTTTTATTGTACCCTTTGCCAGACATTTTCATACTTTGATCAAACCATACAGTTGAGATGATTCAGTTCATTTATTACTGCAGGGCATGTTGAGTAATATTTCTAATTCAGTCATAATTTAGAATACATCATAACCCCTCTTCTCAGTCCCCTTGCCTCAAAAGAAGGAAAAATGGAATTTATGGGTGCAGAATTTGAAAATATGACAGTAGAAATAGAAATAGACATCTTTCAAAAATCTGTGTTTTCACTGGTACCTATTTTTTAAGCTTGTTCTGGTGTTCTAGTTAAAAGGCATCGTAGATTCAGTGAACTAATGCACTCATGTACATGCTGAATGAGTTCATTGTCCATGGGACTACTGGAAGGTAAGCTTGCAGGGAGAGCACCTCAACCTGGGCTCCTTACCTATTTACATTTTTTTAATGTTTATTTTTGAGAAAGAGAGACACAGAGCAAATGGGGGAGGGGCAGAAAAAGAGGGAAACATAATCAGAAGCAGGCCCCAGTCTCTGACCTGCCAGCACAGGGTCCAATCCGGGGCTCAAACCCACAAACGGTGAGATCATGACCTGAGCCAAAGTCCAACGCTTAACTGACTGAGCCATCCAGGCGACCCACATATTTAGATTCTTAAAGTGTATTTAGATTGTTCCACTGGGTTTTGAAATCTGAGTACTTCTGAGATAAAATGACTTTAGAAGAAGTTTATCTCCAAAAACCTATGGTAAGTATTTTATAATTATGTAATAAATGTTAGGCTCTGCTTTGTGAAGAAAAGAGTTACTATAGCACAATTAAGACTGCTATTTTTAGGAGCACCTGGGTGGCTCAGTTGGTTAAGTGTCCAGCTTCAGCTCAGGTCATGATTTCACAGTTCATGAGTTTGAGCCCCACGTCGGGCTCTGTGCTGATGGCTCTCAGCCTGGAGCCTGCTTTGCATCTTGTGTCTCCCTCTTGCTCTGCCCCTCCCCCACCAGAATAAATAAATGTAAAAAAAAAAAAAAATGAAGGAGGAGGAGGAGGCGGAGTGGAGGAGGAGGAGAAGACTGCTAATTTAGAAACACCTGCCTATGATATTGGCCGCGACTGCACCTATACTCTTCATATAAACAATATGTGTTATATTAAACACTATTGCCTTCTGAAAATCTAGATTTTGATATGATATACCAGGTCACCAACCTCCAAAAAAATCACTGGGAACTGAGTTTCTAATGAGTCTCCCCAGTAGATATTTCACAAGTGTTGTGACTGTTGTTGGAAGAATTACGTGTGACCCGTTCAGGAGAGGACTCTTGGAAGCTTGTGTCTAGACTCCTCTGAAGTTTGCCCATGCACCTTTTCCTTTGCTTATTTTACTTTTTATCCTTTTGCTATAATGAATCAGAGCTGTGAGCACAATTATATGCTGAGTCCTGTGTGTCCTCTTAGTGAATCACTGAACCTGGAGGTTCTGGAGAATTCCTTGCATAGCTTTCCTCTTATAATTTAAGTTCAGTGATCTGGGATAAATATATTTATGTAATAGCTAAATACAGTGTCTATATCAAGTTGGATGTTTCCATAGTGGAAGAAAAAGAGGGGGAAGCTATATCTTCATTCCAATTACAATATAAACACTCTATCACCTACTATTTCTCCACTTTGAATTCAGATTTGTGTCTGTGAAAGTACTCATGTGTATGGTCTGGTTATTTTATAGACTCACATCTCAGTCTTCCTGGTTCTCTGTCTTGCTGATCTCTAAAGTTCTGATTCTGTACAAGCAGTCTGTGTTTTAAAGTTAGTTGCATCAGGATACTGAGTTTACAAAGAGTGAATTAGTCTGTCTAGATTTATCATGTAAGATGATAAGACACACCAAATTGGGACCACAGAACTATTAGGAATATATGTGAGTCCATCCTTCCCCCGCTATTTCCTGAACTAATAGTTCATTTTTTTCTTAATCAACAAAATTTCATTATTTATAAAATAATTATAAGATTTACACAACTAGTTGTTGTTTTTACTGTTCTTAATATCCTAGTTTTAGAAAATGTATATAAACTTGCTTTCCATTTGCTGCCACCAACTTTATTTTTCTGAATGTATTTCCTGAGATTGTGTTAATACAAAATAAAACTCTCTAGATTTTATTTCTTTACTGTTTTTGTTCTAGTTTGGTTTCCTATAAAATTTTGTATATCTCTTTTCTGTCTCTACAGATAACACATCTATTTTATGCTTCATCCATGATTTATAAAACATAACAAAATAAATTATTTTTAAAGCACTACAAATGTGATTTATTCCTGTCAGTTTAACTTTGCAGTGATTTTTTTTTCCCCCTAGGATTGTTGATGTTGTTTAGACATTGTCTCAGGAGATTGAGAGAAGAGTTTGCACATGTGCAGAGGAGAGGCAGAGAGAAAGGAAGAGAGAGAAAATCCCAAGCAGGCGCCATACTGTAAGCATGAAACCAGATGTGGGGCTCGAACTCATGAACTGTGAGATCGTGACCTGAACAGCAAACCAAGAGTCAGACGTTTAACCGACTAAGCCACCCAGGTGCCCCAGGTTAAGAGCATTTTAAACTCTAAAGTATAGAATTTAGGGCACCTGGGTGACTCAGTCAGTTAAGCATTGGACTTCAGCTCAGGTCATAATCTCACGGTCCATGAGTTTGAGCCCCGTGTGGGGCTCTGGGCTATCAGTACAGAGCCTGGAGCCTGCTTCGGACTCTGTATCTCCTTCTCTCTCTGCCCCTCTTCTACTCACACTCTGTCTCTCTCTATCTCTCAAAAAATGAATAAATGTTAAAGAAAAAATTAAAAAATAAAATAAAATATAGAATTTAGTTCTTTTTTTAACCCATTAGATTTTGTTAATTTAGATGCTCCATTGTCATTTCTTTCCAGATTATCACAGGGAATTCTTTTCCTGTTCATCCATGCCAAGAATCTGTCTAATCATGTAGTAACAACTAAGTTTGTCTTTTTCTTTTAATATGTTATGTGGAGTTTTATTACTGTTTTTGGTCAAGAAGAGAATAAATAGTATAGTAACAGGAACCAATAGGCCATTTAATAATGCTGCCCTTAATCAACTTTGTGATATTGGGCAATGCTTTCTTTTCAGTTATGAAATTCACATCACCTCCCTTTTTCATTTTTATTGGATTGCACTATTATTGTCTTTTTTGTTTTATCTTTGTAGACACTAGGACACAGATTTTACATTTGAACCTGTGTCTACCTAGAAAACACTCAGTCGGTATTATTTGTATTAGAAATTGACAGCAATGGTCTACAAACCCAAGCCAGTGATATAAATCAGTAAATAGGGCTGGTACTAGAAAATGCAGAGTAGTAAAGACTGGAAAGAGCTGGGAGTAACATGTTCCATCTCCAGGCATTCAAAGCAAGAACTTGAAGTACTCTGCAAGGCAACAGAATAGTAGTGCATGACAGACAAGGCCCAGGGACAGCTTGCGATCTTTGGGTTGCATATTCGTATCTTCATACATCTACCCAAGGTATATAGCATTTAAACAGATTTTTGTTTCTACTCTGGGGTATTTTTGACTAAAAATATCTTTCAGTTTACCTTTATGACTAAAATATACATTACAAGTTGAATAGCCAAATTAGAAAAGTATATCCTTTTCAAAATATTGTTTACAAAGTGTTAATGATTGCCAATTGCTTCACATCCTCTTTCTGAGGTATTCCTATAGCAACTTGGTTGAAAAGTATAGACATGCTTCCTTTCCATTTTAATGTGAACCAAAATGGCTCTAAAAATCAAGTTTGTTAATTTAAATAAAACTTCAAAAAGTGTATAGAAATTAGTCCTATGCAAAATAGAGTAATTTTGATCTCATTCAGGTGTAGAATACCTCTTTGTTTTTATTAATTTCTTTTTGTTGAACATTTTGTTTTTGTTTTTGTTTTTGTTTTTTACTTAACTCTGAAATGAATATGCATTTGTAGAAACATTAGCAAATTCTACCTTCATCATGGCTTGGACCTAGCAATCTAAAACCTCCTGGGCTATCTTTCATATCTACCAGATTACATGTATTTCTGTTTTTTTTTTCATTTTTTTTAACTTTCAGTAAGTTCTCAAAACTCAAAGTAGCTTATTTAAAGCACTTAATTACTACCAACACTCATCTTTCCCCAAAGTTTGGATTTACTGTTCCGAAGTTGATTGTGATGACTTAATCTCCACTTATGTCAGATTGCTCTTTAATATATGGACAGTTTAAAAAAAATACATAAATTTTAACTGGGTTAAAGATTTGTGTTCACTGTAACTGCTTTGTCATTAAGCTAAATGAGGTATTAAAGTCTTAAAACCAGAGTTATAATAAGATAAAGAACTCAACCATAACTGTATGACTAAAGAAAGTACTAATGGATGATGCCTTCTTTTCAGTTGTCCGAAATAGGCTTGTTTCGTGTGGTGTTTTTAATTGAGTTATAACAGTTCTTTGTTTTCCTTCTGTTTTTATGGTTGTAGGATTGTAACTAGTAAAACTTTTTACTTTATTATATATGTGTGTGTTAGTAATTAGATTTCTTTTTCTTTACTCTCACAAAACAATATTCTAGTAAATGTGATATTGGTTATCATGTAGTTGACTTTAAGTCTTTTTTTTTTTTCTTAATGTATCTGTTTCAAATTGTAGACGGAGGAAATATTTTAAGCAGACAACCATTGAAGGCAGTTTTTCTTTTTTTTTCAAATTTATTTATTTTTTTTTATTTTTTTTCAATATATGAAGTTTATTGTCAAATTGGTTTCCATACAACACCCAGTGCTCGTCCCAAAAGGTGCCCTCCTCGATACCCATCACCCACCCGCCATCAACCCTCAGTTTGTTCTCAGTTTTTTTTTTTATTTTTTTTTTTTTTTTTTTTTTTTTTTTTTAGTATTTATTTTCGAGAGACAGAGTGAGACAAAGTGAGACTGGGGGAGGGGCAGAGAGAGAGGGAGACACAGGATTGGAAACAGGCTCCAGGCTCTGAGCTGTTAGCACAGAGCCTGACGCGGGGCTTGAACCCACAGACCGTGAGATCATGACCTGAGCTAAAGTCGGACGCTCAACCGACTGAGCCACCCAGGCACCCCTGTTCTCAGTTTTTAACAGTCTCTTATTGAAGGCAGTTTTTCTAATGATAATGACATTATATTTTCTGAAAGGAAGAACTATGTACTGGATGTATTACATGAAAAATCTTGAAAATTTAGAGATGAGTAATAGATTTTTTTCATTGTTGTTGTTGTAAGCATTACTATGGAGTAATCACTATAGGGTTACTGAGGACATAGGTATGAACAAGAGAGCCCCTGCACTTTGGACCCAACTTAGACATTTTTTTCTCAATTTTTCATAGGTATTAAGTGATTTTGCAACTATCGAAATTTAATAATCCTTAGAATGAATTTCATCAAACAAATGTGATAAATATTAGTGGTTTTCTGTTTTTTAAGTGATATATTTCTTTGAACATCATGATTCCTAAGATAGAAATTTATAATTAATACTCTTAGCAAACTGTATAACAATTAAAGAAACCACAATAAACAATGTGTTTAAATATACTTTTTTCTAATACTATAGCTGGGAAGTTTTAAGATTCCTTCTGTCAAACATAAGATGGTGGTTAGAAGAATATGGCTTTGATGGATTTCGTTTTGATGGCGTTACATCCATGCTCTATCATCACCATGGAATGGGTAGGTAAACTGATATATTACAGATGCAAATAATGATTTTTGTTTTTTTACTGGTAGATTAAAACCAGCTTTGGGGTTCAGTTTCAGAGCTTCCAATGACCATTAGTGTTAGCTTGATTTTTATTCGTTCCAATGTGTATGTCTTTTCTCTAGAGACTTCTGATCCCTTTTTGGCAAGAGGTCAGAAATGAATACATTTTATAAGTAAATAAAAGATAATACTTTCTGTGAAATATATCTACTTAATATGCTATCCTTACTATGTAGCTTTCTTTTAAATATGTTTCATTCATTTATTTTTTTTCTATTCATATGTAATTAACATACAGTGTTAGATTAGTTTCAGGTATACAAAATAATGATTCAACAATTCTGTACATTATTCATAATTCACCCGTTCCCACACATACAACATCAGTTTATTCTGTGTATTTAAGAGTCTGGTTTTTGGTTTATCTCTTTTTTCTTTGTTCATTTGATTTGTTTCTTAACTTCCACATAGGAATGAAATCATATGATATTTGTCTTTCTCTTACTGAATTATTTCACATAGCATTATACCCTTTAGGCCCATCCATATTGTTGCACATGGCAAGATTTCATTCTCTTTTATGGCTGGGTAATATTCCATTGTTTGTATGTATATATGTATATATATTCACAACTTATTTATCCATTCTTCTCTGGGTAGACACTTGGGTTGTTTTATATCGTGGCTATTGTAAATGATGCTGCAATAAACATTGGGGTGCGTATATCTTCTTAATTAGTGTTTTTGTATTGTTTGAGTAAATACCCAGTAGTGGAATTACTGGATCATATGGTAGTTCTGTTTTTAATTTGGGGGGTGGGGGGCAATGTGGAATCCTCCATACTGTTTTCCACAGTGGCTGCAACAGTTTACATTCCCAACAACAGTGTACGAGGGTTCCTTTTTCTCCACATTCTCGCTAATACTTGTTATTTCTTGCGTTTTTTATTTAGCCATTCTGACAGGTATGAGGTGATATCTCATTGTGATTTTGATTAACATTTTCTTGATGATTAGTGATGTTGAACATCTTGTCATGTGTCTGTTGGCCATCTGTATGTCTTCTTTGAAATAATGTTTATTCATGTCCTCTGCCTATTTTTAAATAGGATTATTTGTTTTTTTGAGGTTCAGTTGTATAAGTTTTTTTTATATTTTTGGGATATTTCACTCTTTACCAGACACATCATTTGCGAATATCTTCTTCCATCCAGTAGGTTGTCTTTTTGTTTTGTTAATGGTTTCCTTCACCGTGAAAAGCCTTTTATTTTGTTGTAGTCCCAGTAGTATAATTTTGCTTTTGTTTCCTTGACGAAGAAGACCTATCTAGAAAAATGTTTCTATGTCTAATGTCAAAGAGATTACTGCCTATGTTTCCTTCTAGGAATTTTATGGTTTCAGATCTCACATTTTGGTCTTCAATCTATCTTGAGATTATATTTGCATATGATCTAAGAAAGGAGTCCATTTTCATTTTTTTTTTTTGCATGTAGCCGTTGAGTTTTCCCAGCACTATTTATTGAACACACTGTCTTTTTCCCACTGAATATCCTTGCCTTCTTTGTCATAGACTAATTGACCATAAAAGTCTGGGTTTATTTCTGGACTCTCTATTTTGTTCCATTGATCTCTGTGTTCATTTTGGTGCCAGCACTGCTATGTTTTGATTACTACAGCTTTGTGGTATACCTTGAAATGGGAGATTGTGATAGCTCCAGTTTTGTTTTCCTTTTTCAAGATTGCTTTGGCTATTTGGGGTAATTTGTGGTTTTATATAAATTTTAGGTTTTATTTGTTCTAGTTCTATGAAAAATGCTATTGATATTTTGATAGGAATTTCATTGAATTTGTAGATTGCTTTGGATAGTATGGGCACCTTAGCAATATTGTTTCTCCCAATCCATAAGCACGGTATAGCTTTCCATTTGTTTATGTCATCTCTAATTTCTTTCATCAGTGTTTTATAGTTGTCAGAGTACAGGTCTTTCACCTCCTTGATTACGTTTATTCCTAGGTATTTTATTCTTTTTACTGCCACTCTAAATGGGATTGTTTTCTTAATTTCTCTTTCTATTCATTATTGGTATATGGAAATTTAACAAATTCCTGTATATTAATTTTGTATCCTGCAATTTTACTAAATCTATTTATCAGTTCTAATAGTTTTTTGTGTTTCTATATATAGCATCATGTCATCTGCAAATATTAAAAGTGGTGAAAAACTGAGAGCTTTTCCCCTAAGATCAGGAACAAGACAGGAGATTCACTCTCATACTTTATTCAACACAGCACTAGAAGTCCTAGTGAAAGAAATAAAATATTTTTAAGCAAACAGTTTATTGCAGCACCCATAGGATGTTAACATGACAGCGATTGTAATGAGAAAAAAATAACAACAACAACAAAAAATAAATGAGAACCTTTGTGAATGTGTGGATTCATTTGCATATTAAACACTGTAGAAAATATGTATATTTTAGATAGAGGTGTTCACAGTTAAAATTTAATTATAAATGAATTTGTAATTAAAATCATTGATCAGAGACCTTCAGTTTAAAAGTTGTGCAAAGAGGGGCACCTGGATGGCTCTTCAGTTAAGTGTCCAACTTCGCCTCAGGTCATGATCTCATGGCTGGTGAGTTCGAGCCATGTGAGCCATGTGTCAGGCTCTGCTGATAGCTCAGAGCCTGGAGCCTGCTTTAGATTCTGTGTCTCCCTCTCTCTCTCTGCTCCTCCCCTGCTTGTAGTCTGTCTTTCTCTTTCTTTCAAAAATAAATAAAACATTAAAAAAAAATTTAAAGTTTCGCAAAGAAATGGGATCACAGAATCCTAATCGCTTAGTAGATAACATGGAGAATAATTATTATTTTTTAATGGCCAAATATTACCAAGCAACAACCAGTCTGAAACAAGGACTTTGTAAATTTTGAAAAGTGGCTGCCAAGAAATGAAGCTGTATTCAGAGTGTGTTGCTATCTGCTCTTAATCTTGCATGGTGCTGCCCCTATGAAATGTTTCTAGGAAAGAAGCTGTATCTATTAAAACATGATAGATTTCACTGATATCTTCCAGTTTGGAGAGAAACTGACTTAAGGAATGAAAAAGGAAAACATGGCAAAATTTAAGAAGGAGTCTCTCCTAGATTACAACACCTTCTAGATTACATATGCAACTCCTGCATTTCCCTGTAGAACCTCTCTCTTCTGAGGCCTTGGTATCTTCCAAGGAATTGTGGAGTTAGGGAAATGAATTGGGGGGGAAAAATGAGGCAAAGTAATTAACATCAAGACACAAAGTGTTTAATTTATAAAATTCAGTGATAAAAAGAAGTTCAGCATATGACATCTTAGGAAGAAAAAGCAATTTACCTGTATACATGAAAACAATGGCTGAACTCATACTATTCTATTGCTAACAGCAATGTCTACAAAATCCTCAGGGAAACAAAGTTTGACTCGAAAATTGATACTTGAATTGTCATTCAGGTATAAATTTGAAAGAGTTTGATGAATAAAACTTCCAGAAAATACCATATAGTGATGGAATCCAGCAAACTGAAAAAACAATGAGTCAAAATAAAAAAATTGATGTAGGGAAGCGGGGGGGGGGGTTGGGGGAAAGGCAGGTGTTGAACACTAATTGGATTTAATGAAAAATTAGTAACAATTCAAAGAATAGAAAGCAAATAGTATAACCCCAATAAGTGATACATACTATAAGCAACCAAAATTAGGATGTGGGGAAAAAGAAGGTAAAAGGAAGTTGGAGGATGTTAAAATCTTTTTGTCATCATAGGAAATCTGTATGGCATAAATTGAAGCACATATTTAAAATAATATAAACATTTTGTCTCAATTTTATGATGGTTTTCATATTTGCTTTTCTTCACAGGGATCTCTTGACATGCAAAAAATATATATATCTATAAGTTGAAATCTAGAATTCCCTTTGGTATCATTTCATGTTTTTCCTTCAAAATTATGTTAAAATTAAATTCAAATTTTCAGTTAAAGTGCTTTGTTTGCTTTTGAAAAGCAAAAATTGATTTGCAGGATTGTCTGAATTCTGAATGTTTGATACGGAGTACTTTTCTAAGTCAGAACATATTTGCTGATGATAATATTCTGTGCTATTAAGGCTTATTACACTTTGCTATGATAACAAAACTGATCTCAATAGACTAATTGGTGGGGGCATTTGTGCTGAGTTGAGACTTGCATGTTAACATAATGCATCTGTATCGATTTTCTGTTCTCTAGGTCAAGCTTTTTCAGGTGATTACCATGAATATTTTGGACTTCAAGTTGATGAAGATGCCTTGATTTATCTCATGTTGGCAAATCATTTGGTTCACACATTGTATCCCGATTCTATAACAGTAGCTGAGGTAAAGCCATAATGATCTCTACCCTCAGAACCCCTTTAATATAGAACATTTTGTTGGCATACAATATTTGAATGATTAATCTCATGTTGTCAATAATTGCATAACTGAAATTGGACCCTGACCGTAGTGCAGCTATCTTGTATGGGTGGCACATTATTTAGAATTCAGTGTTTTTCTATTAGGAGATAGTGTGCACTAATTACTTGTCATCATTCCATTGTTAAAAAAGAAAATGCCAATGGTTAGAAAGTAAAATATCCTAATCAGTGGACAGGCCCTTCCACCGTGAGACCTTCAGCAGAGAAAAGAATTGAATATTAATGTGTGTCTGCTTATTTATTTATTTTTTCATTCCTGGTTTAATCATTAGAGATGGCATGGATCGCTGCCTGCAAGCTTCTCTGAAGTCTCTCTTGTTCTGATGCGATTACCTTTCTTGTTTACGTTATTGCTCTTGGATTGCCAAATGTTCACTAGTTATTCATGATTACTGAAGGTTCATGATTAACTGTCCCAAAGCTGCACTGTAATGATATAATTCGGTATATGCATAATTGACAATTCCCCTCTTGGTGATAAATGTGATAAATTAAGAAGTTTGTTAAATGCTTATGCTAATTTAGATTTAGTTCTAAAATCCCTCTGGTTTTCTGAGTCCTCTTACTAGAAATTATTATTAAAATTGAATTTAGTATGTTAAAACTGTTCTGTAAAAAGTGTGACGGTTGGCATATAAAAATAGCAAGAATATCGTTAGAAGAGTCAGAGTTCAGTTGTATTTTCACATTGTTGGCATTTAGTTCATGGGCATGAAATGTGGTAATGACAGCCTTCTTCCTGTGGTATTTATTATTTGTATAGACTTATTTCTATCCATGTCTTCTCAAAACCCCGAATCTTCAACTAGGTGGAATGATTCCTTGTTTATCTCTGGATAGAGAACAGTTACCTCCTTTAGACATTTTGCCTTCTAAATATGTTCTAGGACCAGAGCAGTGGATCCTACATTTCTGGAATAAATTTTTATATAGAATTTTAAAACACGCAATTATAATACCATTTTGATTATCCTGTATTATTCCACACTCCCTACCTACTTAAATTCGGTCATATCTTACAAATCTTGCTAATACTTTATGCACTGAATATCTTTTAATGTCAGAATGTATTTTAAACTTTTATTTTGTCTTTTGTATAGTTTTATTTTATCTGTCAAACATCAAAAAAGTTTGTCGATTATGTTTATGGCAATTCAAAGCAGAGATAGTTTAAGTGAAAAATTACTATAAACAATTAATGACAGCACAAATCAAAATTGGGTACTGACAAAAAAGAAGCAATTATTTAATACATGAAATGTAAAATTGTTACATTGATCTCTCGTTCATTTCAAGTAAAATAGTTTCATCATCTAGGGAGCCCTTGTCTGATTATCAGTGTTTCTACCAATGAAACTTTGAGACTTTAGTCTACTTTATATTACTTGGTTTTAGATTTTTTTTTTTAACAAGATGTGTCTTCAATTTATTCTGCTTAAATTGAAAACTACTTCAATTTCAGTACATCACTTTTCTGTCTAGTGGGAGTCTCTTCAAAATGTGAAATTGATCCTCATGAACTTTTTTTTTTTTAAGAAAGGAATATGGTGTAACAAATAAGTAATGCAATTTATATAAAGTCCTATAGTAGAAATTTAAATTTATTTACAATGACAGTTATTAAAATTGAAACCTTTTTTTCCTAGAATATACCTACCATTTCCCATGGTTCTATTTGGTATATTAATTAAAATATTTTTTTGATTGAGGTTTTCTCTCCCTTTGGCATAGTCATAAGTGATCCTTAAATATAAAAATAAAAACTATTTTAACTTTATTTGGAACACATAATCATTTTTATATTTTATGTTGGTAGGTATCAACTTTTTTATATTTAAAATATATTTATTTTAGTGACCTTTATGTTTACCTTTTTTTTTCTTTTTAAGATTTTTAAAAGGATAGTCATTAACTCTCCTCTTTCAAAAGAGAACTGCAAATATCTCATATATATTAATGGAGTAGCTTTCTAAGGATTCAGTTTTAGAAGTCAAGACCAAGTGGTGTCCAAATATTTTTCTTAGCAGATTCTATTTCCTATCAAAGTATTTCCTAAAACTACCTTTAGAGCAAATATAGAATGCACCTTAATGTTTCTTGAGAAAAAAAAAAATATCTTGATCTTTAATACCAGCCTATCACCAGTCTTAGGAAAACTTAGTCTCATGAGAACTCTTCTGTGAAAGCATTTTTGTTTATAATTCCAGTGCCTAACACGAGTACCTGGTATTTAAAACATATACAGCCAATGTTTGTAAGGAATCAAGCTAAATACCTACTGTATCAGTGAAAATGTGACATATGTAATAGATACAACTTCTCTGAAAATGTTTTTTTTTCTATTAAGCATGCATCCTTTTCACTTTTTTCTCCTTTTACATTTATAACCTATGAAATATTAAGTAGAACCAAGATTTTATTGACAAATATTTCTTTTTCTTACAGATGTATTCCACTATGCACTATATTTAAGTGTATCTCTCTCCCATTAAAAAGCAATTAATAAAGTATTTTATAAGTCCAGAGAGATTATATATTTCTTTTTTCCACCTTTTCTGTGGGAAGAATTTGGGGATGGTGTTGTAGATGAAAAACTATTTGAGTTAAATTTCAGAGAGTTCTGAGTGTATAATAGTCTTTTTAGAAAGTAAGGATAATAATACAAGGAAGAGTTTGTGCAGTGACATGCATAGAAAAGCTTGTGACAAGCACAGGGAAGAGTGAATATTTCAAAATGGATGATGTATTTAGTACTTGAAATATAATAGAAATTATGCTGGAAAGATGTAGGCTTCTCCCTTCTGCTTTCTGTGTACTTTAGTTAACAATTGTAACAACTATATGGCATTATCATTTCATGATTATAAGTGTGTATATGTTTACTTAGGTCTTACGTTATGAATCCCAAAGGTCAAATATTCTGCCTTATTTACCTTTAAATTCCTGACAGTGCCTTTATTCATCCACTCATCAAATTTTATTGAGTTCCTGCTTCATGCCAGTTACTCTCCTACTGCTCTGAATTCTTGGCATATATCACTGAACAACAACAACACCTTTGCCCCATGGATCCTACATTCTAACAACACATAAGGAGGCAGATAATCAAATAGGAAATTATTTTGTCAGTGTTTAAAGGATGATTGTTGTATTGAATCTTTAGCTTAAGAATTTGAGTATTCGATTGTTGGCTATCGAAAGCCATTGTTGGGCAGTGATAGCGGGCTGTCTCATAAGCTGTTGTTTTGGCAGCAGTCAGTGTGAAGGGAAACTGGAGATGGGAATTCCTTTTGGGAGCATAATGGTCTCAGCAAGGAGTAATGAAGATTAAATAAGAAGGATGATGGTTGTAGAAATGGAGCAAAGGAGAAGAATTGATTTCAAAGATATTGTAGAGTTAGAATTGCTAATACATGTCTCACATGAGACCAGAGTTGCTATTATAATATATTTTACTACATCTGGTTCCTTATCCCATCTTTTTTTTTTTTTTTAAGCTTCCCAATTATCAGTAATCTAGTGGTGGCATGACAGAGGAGGAAGATACTTTGTTGAAGTGCCTGCCATCTGACCCTATCATTGAGAAACATATCTTTAGAAATCCCTTCACCTGAGTGAGCTTCAGTTTCTGTGTCTTCTAGATGAAGAAGGTCCTCTAGATACCCTTTAGATCCATTTCAAGTGTGACTGACTATAGTGAAAGCCATCTTATTGCTTCATTCTTAATATACTAAGTCTTCTATCTCATCAGAAGCTAGATGCTCACAAAATACGCTCCATGTCAGTACTTTATGCAGAGAGCAAGTACAGCAGATATATGCCACATGTATTTTGTGTTTGAAAGCAAGAGCTAAGTGTTCATACAGTGGCTCAAAAGTAAGTCTAAGATACTATGTTTTAGCAGTAATCGTTTTACTATTTTCTGTTCTCTTTGTCATACGAAGGAAAAGAAAAAAATGAAAAAAACGCCTCATGAGATTGAAGTTGTCCTGCAGTGAAAAGAATTACACAAAAACTTAGTGGGAAATGAAATCTCCCATTATAGTTTTAACTACTTTTACAATTATGCTACCAAAACACTCTAAAAAGATATGCCTCCATTTACTGTTTTTATTTATGGGGCTATTTATTTTATTTATTCTCTACTGTCAAAAGAATATTTCCTAAGAATTTGAACAATGTGAACTGATACTATTGATGACTTTGTTTTAGGATGTGTCAGGAATGCCAGCTCTCTGTTCTCCGATTTCCCAGGGAGGAGTCGGCTTTGACTATCGATTAGCTATGGCAATTCCAGATAAATGGATCCAGGTAAGATTTTATGCATTTTTTTCCCTAAAAATACTATGTATTTTGTTGGTTTATTTTTTATCTCTTTGATTTATTTAACTTGTGATCATTAGTTATAAATGTTATAATCATTATAATTGAAGTATTAAAAAATTTTCTCATTAGTGTGTTGATTCTTATGCTTTTTAATAAGATGTTTCACAAACTTCTAAAAGTTCCAGTTTAAAGTATTCATACTTGTGTTATTTAGGCAAGGAGAAAATATTACTATAACGTGAGCTCTGTATATAAAATTTTGCATTATCATTGCAGTTTTGTGAAACTTCAGTGCTCTCTGTATAAAACACATTCAACTTCATCAAGCATCCATTTCTGCCTGCAATTCATCAATGTAAAAGTTACTCCTTAATTCCCCTTACTTGCTTCATAGTATGTTTTTACCTCAGCAGATTTGGATTCATCCATTCCTTTATTTAACATTTAGAAATCCTTACCGTGTGCCAAGCACTAGGAATGCATAATTATAGATGACACTTTGCACATTATTTGTAATGAAATTGTATTAAATTTTATTATAGTTAAGTAGCTTCGATTATATTTTGTTTTATTTAATATTTGCCTAAAAGACCATTGTTTTTATATAGACTCAGATTTGACATAGAACACTCTGAGTGGCTATGTCCCTGATGACAGGCTGAATATGCATAAGGAGTCAGCTTTGTATTTGTATCAAATAATCATATTTGTATCAAATAATCAGTTTTCTGATGAGCCCTTTAGTACACCGTGAACTGTAGATGTGTTTAACCTTGGATAGAAAAACCGTGGAGCCTGCTCTGAAGGAACTAATTATTGTAATCCTATCTTAACTTTCTTCCCTGTACTCTCCAGGCAATTTGTGCAATACACAACTGTGACATTAAATCTTTACCAACATAATTTTTGCTTCTCCATTTATAATGATTCCTAAACTTTGTCAAGTCAAAAAAGCAAATGTTTTCCAGAGATGATTAGACTGAAAATCAAAGAAATAAATATGTATTCTAGCTTTAATACCTGGGAAAGTTGCTTTATATCTGTCATTTAAAAAAAAAAAAATGGTGTGGTCTTCAATTTTCTCACCTTGGTCTAAAGGTCTTTACCCACGATCTTTTAGGATTTCCAATCTTCCATGCAGACTTTTTTCCCCTCACAAGTGCCAAGTATTACTTTTCTCACCTCCTACTGAAAACCCTCCATCAGTTTTTGTGCAGATTTAAGAATATTTCAGGGGGTACATCAACCTAGAATTATTCCCATCACTCATAGCCCACAGTGGGTATTTCCTTCTCTTACCAATGATGACATTTTTAAAAAATATTTAATTTAATTTAATTTAATTTAATTTAATTTAATTTAATTTACAAAACATTTAGTACCTTGTATGCTCAAGGTACTGTACTAGTTAGTACCTCATACAAGTGGAAAAGTATACTGTCCTATGTTTAGGACCATCATGTCTTCTTAGATTGTGAATTGTCTAAAGGCAGATGTTATCTTCTGTTTTATGTAATTATTTAAAAATCTTTTTGCATCACCAAAGTGGGAACCCTAGTTAGTAAGACAAGAGAAAGTTAAAATAATATTATAAAAAGCTCAGTGATATCCCCTACTTTTGTAATTTGTGCATTTAAAAAAATAATCTCATAAATGACTATTATTTTCTCAAAAGGTACACAGGAGTATTAATCTAAATGGTAGCTGTACTCAGAATATATGGCATTCATTGTTATTTCCAGATAGGGTCTGAGTTAAATCAGAATGCTAGATTTCATTCATGTTTTTGTTGTTCAAAAGCAAATTATTTCTACTTGTATTGTTCAAAATCAGTAGTTTGGAATACCACATTTAATCATATTTAATCATTTACTGAACAAATACTTGCCTATCTAAAATATGCCAAATTTGCTGCAATCCCTTTTATTTTATTTTATCATTTTTATTACCTACCTACCTTTTATTACCATTTTATGTTAAATTGAGATAAGTGGTTAATTGAATTCATTCATTTATACATTAATTCCACCAAAAATTACTGAGCACTTTGTATTTTTACTATAGAAAGTTTTTTAATTGTCGATTCTCACGCAGTTGTAAGAACAGTTGTGATACAGTGAGAAAACCAGTATTTTCAAGTGGTAACACCTTCCAAAATTATACTGTAGTACCACAACCAAGATACTGACATTGGTATAGTTAAGATATAAAATACTCCATCACCATAAAGTTCCTTCATGTTTTCCCAATCACTTTTTAATCTGTGGCAACCACTAATCTGATCTCCATTTCTGTAATTTTTTTTTCATTTCAAGAATCTGATATAAATGAAATCATACAATATTTAACCTTTTGGGATTGCCGTTTTGCACACAGCAAAATTCTCTGGAAATTCATATAGGTTGTTGCACGTATCAGTAGTGCATTCCTTTTTATTGCTGAATAGTACTCCATAGTATGGATAGACCATACTTTGTTTGATCATTCACCCATTATAGACATCTGGATTGTTTCTGGATTGGGCTATTACAAATAAAGATGCTATAAACACTTGTGTACCGATTTTGTATGGTCATAAAAATTAATTGCTCTAAGATAAATGACAAATAGTGCAATTACTAAATCATATAGTAGTTGGATGTTTAAGTGGATGGATATTTAAATTTTTAAGATACTATGAAACTTGTCCAGAATAACTGTACCATTTTTCATGCCCATTGGGAATGTTGGAGAGATCCACTTTCTGTACATCCTTGCACCTGTTTTAGTTATTCTATAATAGATGTGTAGTGATATCTAACTGTGGTTTTAATTTGCATTTTCTTAGTGGCTTATGATGATGAACATCTTTCATGTGTGTAGTTGCCCTCTATATATCCTCCTTGATAAAATGTCTATTTGTGTCTTTTGACCATTTTCTAATTAGATCATTTGTTTACTCTGGAGTTTTGAGAGTTCTTAAATAATCTAGATTAAACTCTTTTGTTGGATATGAAGTTGGCAAAAGTTTTCTCCCAGTCTGTTGCTTAATCTTTTTATCCTTTTCATGTGGACTTTCACAGAGTAAAAGTTCTTTATAATAAATTTGATGAAGGCCAATTTATCATTTTTTTCTTACAGGGACCTTTTTTGGTATCAAGACTAAGAATTCTTTGACTCTCCTATGTTTTCTATTAAACATTTTATACTTGTACTTTTGCACTTGAAGTCCATGGCCCATTTTGAATTAATTTTTGTGCAACAAATGTGTAAGACCTAGTTCCTTACTTCAAGTTTCCTTTTGTTGTTGTTGTTGTTGTTGTTGTTGTTGTTGTGGATTTCCAGCTCTTCCAGCATGATTTCTTGAAAAGTCTATCCTTCCATTGAATTATCTTTGCACATTAGTCAAATTTAAGTGGGCATATTTGTGTAGGTCCATACATTAGTGTCAAATTGTTGCTGTACCTGATTACCACAACAATGTCTTCAAACAACACCAATTAGCCATTATATAGTTCTCAAAGTGCTTTAGGTCACAGATCTGAAATGGGTCTTACTAGGCTAAAATTAAGGTATTGACAAGGCTGCATTTCTTCTGGTGGTCTAGTTCCCTTGCCTTTTCTAAAGGCTTCTAGTTTTCTAAAAGCCACCTATAGTCCTTGGCTCGTAGCCCCTTCCTCCATCTTCAACGTTTATTTATTTTTGAGACAGAGAGAGACAGAGCATGAACGGGGGAGGGTCAGAGAGAGGGAGACACAGAATCGGAAACAGGCTCCAGGCTCTGAGCTGTCAGCACAGAGCCTGACGCGGGGCTTGAACTCACGGACCGAGAGATCATGACCTGAGCTGAAGCCGGACGCTCAACCGACTGAGCCACCCAGGCGCCCCCCTTCCTCCATCTTCAAAGCCAACAGAGTAGCATCTTCATATTTCTCTATTACTCTGACCACTCTTGCTTCCTTTTTACAAAGGTCCCTGCAATTATATTGGACCCGTTCAAGTAATCCCAGATAATCTTCCCATCTCAATGTATTCATCACATTTCTAAAGTCCTTTTCCATGTAAGGGAACATATTCACAGGTTCTGGGCATTAGGATGTGAACAACCTATGGGTGACCATTATTCTGCCTAACACAATCTGCTGTCTGGTGCCCAACAATTCACACTGAAATTATGAGACATGGATAAGCACTTCTGACTTCCATAGAACAAAAGTCAACAAAGGAAGATATGAACAGGCCTGAATCCCATTTCTTGTACCAAAATCTGCAGCAGTTTTGCTTTAGTTCCTGTGTAACAAATTTTCACAATCTTGATAACTTAAAACATTACTCACTTGCTACCTCATGGTTTCCTCAGAGGACATCTATCATATTTTACAAGGTTCCACCTCCACTTTAGGACTGCACAGAAATGTGAATATGGGGGAACAAGAATTATGGGGACCGTCTTGGAATTCTGCATATCAGAGTACAGTTGACACTTTGGACAGATTAATGAGCCCATGCAGAAAGAGTGTATTGGGTAGAAGAAAGAGGCTATTTTTAGGAATAACTTTAAGGAGCATCAACTTTATAGGATAGGCAGAGGGGGGAGCCTGCAGGATGCCTAGAGAGGTGGGAAAACAAAACAATCAAGAATTTCACTCTAGTAGACTAAGAAGAAAAGCCATTCATGGGAAAGTATAGAGTCAGCACTCAACATGTACAGCAAATATTTGCCTAAGATAGAGAAAATATTACCTAAGAGTCATTTGCAGTCTTGGCAAGGTCATTTGCATCAAAATGCGGCAGAAACCAGATTGGAGACTGAAGTAGAGAGAGGTGTGTGGTCTGCTAAGATGGTAATTATTTCATGATAATTAGCCTTTAAACTTTCAAGTTGTTTTTTTTTTCTTTAGTTATCACTTTTTTAAAAGAATGGAACAAAACATTATTCCTGCTAAAATTTTCTTTATTCAAACCTAAAAATGTAGCAAGTATATCTCTCCCTTTTGAAAGTTACAGATATATTGCACAATAACACTTCACTGTGGTCATTAATCAAGAGGTAGCAGTTGTTACGGGGGAAAAAAGTTGAAAAAATCCTAAAGTGCACTGATCAAACCATCTGCACAAAAGCAAACACACACACACACATACACACACACACACACACACACACACACACACACACACACACCACATCACTGTCATTTGGACAGTCTGTATAAAATCTGCGATTTTAGTAAATGTTTAACCTAAGATATTTTTGCTATGTGGGTGCACTTGTATCTATATGTCAAATAATTTGGATTTGCAATGGATGCCCTCAGATAGTGATTTAAATAAAGTAAGAACTATAATGGTTTATTCAAATTATTTTCTCTCTTGTATTTAGCTACTTAAAGAGTTTAGAGATGAAGATTGGAATATGGGCAATATTGTATACACACTCACAAACAGACGCTACCTTGAAAAATGCATTGCTTATGCAGAGAGCCATGATCAGGTAAATGAATATGTGTATAAATTAATTGTGTCTCTCTCTGTATTTATTAACAGATCTAATACAAAAATATCCAAATACAAATTTCTGAGGTTTAATGCAGTTAATATAATTTATAGCTATCTTTATGTGAAAACTTCTCAGACTTAGAAAACATTTAAAAAATATTTTACAGATCTATAAAATCTAGCTTCAAAACGCAGTACTATTTTTACTCAGCAAAACTGTAATTAAAAAATTGTAAATGACAGTTGCAAGTGTTCTCCTACATGTTTTCCTTTGTTGTAACAAGAGGAATATTGGTTCTGATCCAGGTTAATTTTAATTTCAATTTTAGTTTTCCTTCTAGAGGTTTTCTTTTATGCCTTTTGACAAGCTTTCATCATTTTTTTCCTGCAATCACTGAATTCTCTTGCTAAGTAATCACTCTGACCCCTGTTTCTCCGGCTTCAGCCCATCCTTTCTAACTCAGCCTGAGATATTTTCCAAAGAGCCTAGCTCATTTTGTCAACCCACATCTTTTGATTAGATCTTCTTATTCAAGGCCACTCATATTCTGGCCCAAGCCAAAGTTTCCACCTTTATTCTCTGCTCAACTCTCCAAGCATTTTATTCTTCAGGACTATAAAATTCCCACCCATTCCTGACTAGGTCATCCTTGTTCCAATCAGGTACTTTCCCCACACACCTGAAAATGCCTAGTGTACCTGGGGAGCTCCTATGAAGCCCTCCTGCCCTGACTCTGATGTCATATTCTCCCTGAAGTCTTCATCTAGTTGTATGGGGAAAAATAGTGGCCTCATTCTCCATGCTTTCATCACATTTTAGGCAGAACATTTGTTTCCATTACCTTTATATATCCAGCCTTAGCACTGTGACTGCTCCTAGTAGTCGTTCAATAAACATAAGTAAAGGTAGGAACAAAGGCCATTTAGCTATTTAAAGCCATATTAATCCTTATAAACATAAACAACATGTATGCATTATAAAGGAGACAGTAAACATTTCTGAGATTATTTGCAGTATGTGCATCAAGGAAATTGAAGCTCAAACAATAATCTTGTTATTTTAGCAGAATTTGACCATTTAAGGTAAACAGGTAGATTTTCAGCTGTCTCCTTTAATTATTAAGAAACAGTTAAGTAGACCAGAGGTCAGCTACTAAAGCCCATGTACCAAGTTCTTCTTGCTGCCTGTTTTTGTAAAAGTCATTGATACATGGCCATACTGATTCACTTATGTATTGTCTGTGGCTGCTTTTGAGGCATAATGGTAGATTTAAGCGGTGGAGACTGAGAAAGTGGCCCCAGTGCCTAAAATATGTACCATGCAGTCTTTACAAAAAGTTTGCTGATTCATGATGTAAACGTATATTAAATTTTGTATCTTCCAAATCAGAGCAGTGCTTTCTCTTCAACTTAAATTGGCTGTAAAGCAGATCAAATCAATACCTACCAAAAAAAGGAGAACTAAAATTAAAAAAAAATTAAAAAAAAACAGGTAATAATAAGTGTGGAGGAACTCTCACCAGATATATAATAATGAAAACTAAAATAAATGCATAAATTCTTTATATTGCAAACTCCTAGCAATTTTAACATATTTGAGCTCCCTAGGTATATTTATTTTAGATAAATGAACGAAGGAGTAAATGAATGGGTTAAATAAATTAAGGATGCAACACCTACACTATTTTCGTAGTTTTACTCCCAAAATGTACAGAAAATTATGGATTTACCAAGAATTATTTCATACTTTAAAGACTGATGTAATTCTGCTCGGTATGCCAAATTGTCAGTAATGTACAAAGAGATGCAAGTTTTGTGTCTCTTTCTAAAAGCAAAAATACATTGAATCTTGAATCTGATAAAATTATAAAGATGTGTATTTATAAGATGAATACTATAGAAAAATCGACATCCTGGTAAAAATCTAATCAGAATTTATCAAAATAATTTTGTAATATAATCATAACTTAAAGAAATAAACCCAGTCACACATAAGAATATAACAAAGCAATTTAAAACAAGTGAAAAGGACAAAATCGTTTAGAACCAGTATTATCTATTAACTAACGTGTATATCTTCTATGCGTTATCTTCAAACTGTTTTAGCGATGGAGCCTATTTTTGAACTAAGTTTGTACAGCACTCTGAGTTGTATGTCTGATTGAAACTGCATTTTATTGGTACATGTATTAGTCTGCTAGGACCGCAATAACCGAATCCCACAGGACAGTATAAACAACAGACATGTGTTTCTCCCAGCTCTGGAAGTCCAAAATCAAGGTGTCTGCAGGTTTAGTTTTTCCCGAGGCCTCTCCCGGAGGCTTGCAGATGGCCATCTTTCTGTTCCCACGTGGTCTTTCTTCTGTACACTTATCCCTGGTAACCCTTTCTCTTCATATGAGGACACCACTCATTGGGTTAGAGCCTCACTGTTACGACCTCATTTAATCTTGCTTACCTACCTCTTTATAGACCCTCTCTCCAAATATAGTCACATTGGAGGTTAAGACTTCAACATGAATTTGAGGACACAATTCAGTCTGTAACTGTACACATTCCACTTCATATGTTTAGATTTAAAATATTTACCTTTGAGTCAGAGAACAAAGAGTCTACTTTGATAAAGTGAAATAATTTGAACTGGAGTAAGATAGACGACAATTACCATCTAATCAAACTTTCAGAATTCTTGTGCCAGCAACCATATTCGGAGCTAATTCTTTCTTGGCCCTCAAAATAAGGACAAGACTGACAGAATGAGTAGATAGTCTTGAAACAGTATTTTAAAGAAAAATCATTTTAATCAAAATAGATTTGAGATTAAAATAGGTTTATAAGTAAAAATATTTTTCTAAAAATGAAAATTATTATAATAGGATAAGGAGATTACAATTTATGCTCTATTGTATGTTTCACTATAAATTATTTTTGTCAGTAAAAAACATTTTGTGTTAGTTAGCCATTTTTAGCCATAAAATTTTGGATTATTAAGAGGCCTCTCTTCTAGTCAGTATGTTTCTGAGTTACCTGCCCCATTTACCAACTGTTATATTTTCATATAAAACAAACTAATTTTGGGGCATCTGGGTGGCTCAGTTGGTTAAGCATCCGACTTCGGTTCAGGGCATGATCTCGTGGTCCGTGGGTTCGAGCCGCGTCAGTCTCTGTGCTGACCGCTCAGAGCCTGGAGCCTGTTTCAGATTCTGTGTCTCCCTCTCTCTCTGACCCTCCCCTGTCCATGCTCTGTCTCTCTCTGTCTCAAAAATAAATAAAACGTTAAAAAAATTTTTTTTAATAAAATAAAACAAACTAATTTTAGATTAGATGGCAGATTCCATGAGAAAACAAATTTTACATTTTAAGAAAAATCTGTCAACCCTCTGCTGAAGGAGAATAGGGTCCATTTTAGTATATTTAGTATATACATTTAGTATATTTAGTATATACATAAATACATATACATAAATATAAATATATAGAAATGATTTTTAAGAAAATCTTCCATTCTGTCAAAACAAATAAAATGGTAATGCAAACTATTTTTAAAGTTTATTTAGTATTCTCAACAATTATAATAAATGTTTATTCCAATTTCAGAAAACTCAAAGCATCAGTTCAGATATAACAAATACTTAAGCGGCTTATCCTGAGTTTTCACTAAGCTCTTTAAAAATAAAAACCAGTCCTGGAAATAGATGCGTTGATCTCTGACCAGCTCACATGATTATACCAGTTCACCTTCAGTGTAGAAAGCAACTATTGGAAAATACATGAAATTAATACTAATTCTAACACCCTCTCCTAGATGGTTTCCCATCCTATGTAATCACGTGCTACTCTAGTGCAAATTAAAACTGCTTAGTACCTATTCTTTGCATTTATCTCAGTGACTTTTATTTCTATAGGCACTAGTTGGGGATAAGACACTGGCATTTTGGTTGATGGATGCTGAAATGTATACCAACATGAGTGTTCTGACCCCGTTTACTCCAGTTATTGATCGTGGAATACAGCTTCATAAAATGATTCGACTCATTACTCATGCTCTCGGTGGAGAAGGCTATCTCAATTTCATGGGTAAGTAGGAGTTGAACACATATCCCATCTGTGTTCAGAATGTTAACTAATATTACATATAACATAAATAACGTAGAATGTTTTGAATTGGCTGTTCAGGTTTAAAATAAAAAATTACAACTTTATTTTTTTAATACACTGTCACATATAAACTGCAGAAACTAAATTACTGTATGATCATTGTTATACTAATATACAATACCAAAGTACAGCGATAGCTGGCACTTTATGTAATGGTTTGTCAACAAGTGGCGTGAACTATTTTTAAAGCTTAGCGTTATTATTCTGAATTTCATCATTTGATTTTTATTACTTTAGTGTTCACACATATTGAACATAAGAAAGATATCATTGTCATATCATAACATATTCAGCTAAGATTATTGGTCTTTGAGGTAATTGTACACCAGCATGCTTCTATGGTAAATGTGAAAACCAAGACTAAGAATATGTGATGTACAAAAATGAAATGTGTATTTATTTTAAAAATAGGAAGACTTTTATTAAAATATTTAATATTTTAGTATTAAAAATAGAAGAGTATTTTAAAAATAAGAGTATTCCAAGGTCATTGTTGTCTGAAGGATGTTGAATGCTACAATATAGAAATCAGCTAATATTTTCTGTTCTGTTTGGTCAACAACGATTATTTGAGAATTTGAGTTTTAGGAGATTTCATCATTTTTAGACGGGAAGTGTATGTGGGAGGCTGATTTATTTTTCTAAAGTAAAAGCCTTAGCACTTCAAGTTAATTCATTTCTATCTGGAAATTTTTTATAAGGAACCTCTGGTTGGACTTTTAAAAGTCTCTATTGTTAAATAAATAAATAGTCTCTATTGTTTGCTAACTTGAGGTTAGCAAGCCCAACCCTTTATGCACCAGATTTCACCCGTATGGACTGTACCCTTGGGTGTATTCCTCTCCTCTTAGGATCACAGAAATTTGTTAATATTCCTAAACTGTCTGGAAGTGACCTTCCTGACCTGAGGGACTGCACTGTGTCAGCCATGCCACAGGCCAGGTTTCCTGAGCGGACTTTGCAGGCATGATATCCATAAGTAAAATCATCCTCAGTTGCTTAAAAGCAACTGGTCCTCCCTGACTCTGTGAACATTGTCCACAAATATAGCCATCCTAGTAAGACCTTAGTTGCACAATCAATTCATTCAATTATATCCTGAGAAAAAGATAGAATCCATGACCGTATGTAAATAACTGTGTCACCATGTAAGGAGAGCTGAGGTTTTAGTGTGAGATTTTTTTAATGTTTCATTTCATTTATAAAAGCAGTTAATTAAGTTGTTACAGTCTAAGCTTAAATAGAAACTGAGAGGGCTTCCTTGTATGTGTGGAAATGAAACAGTTTTCCAAACAGAGAACCGAAATAAAAGAACATCTCTGAATTTATGCAGCCAGTCCTATGTCATTAATTCGGTCCTATGTCATTAATTCTAGAAACCCACTGCATTCAAGAACTCTAGTAACCTGACTCAGTTTACTGCTTTAGTCTGGAAATTGTGTAAGCATTGTCAACTAAGAGGCTGTACCTTTGAGTAGAGAGTGTCAGTAGTTTGAAGTACTTAATAAAGTCCTTTACCTGAGACTATCCTTCTTTGCCAAAGACAGTTCTAGCCTGAAGCACATAACAGAACTTTCAGGCAAATTTCAGAGTAAAATGGTCTATCCACAGATGATGGAGCTTAATGGTCCTAGTTAAATAAATGTTGGTAACTTTTAAATAAGAAAGGTCTGATGCAAATTCGTAATAAGAATGATTTCCTCTGAGTCTTGGTGTATATTCCATAATGGTAAAAATGGGTCTTGGACAGCCAGGACATTAACAAATCTCAGTAACTCATAAGCTTTGTAAAATGTATATTCCTCCTAAGACAGGCTGAGCATCTGTTCTGTTTTGGAAACTCTTCCCATAGTAACAATAAAGAAACATAATTGTTTCTAACACCTCTTTCTGTAAGGCCTATAAAGTGAGCATATTTGTGGTATCAAATCTAATCTGGAAATTATTCTTTGATGTAGAACTAAGATCTTTGACGTTTTATTCTTGTGTCCTTAAAACAAATGGCTTCTAATGTTTAACACCAGTATAACACCTATTTTTTTTTATTCCATCTGTCTTTTTATCTTATCTAAATCTAGCATTTCTGTGCAAACTTTAAAATCAATAATCTCCGAGTAGCTCTATAATTTCTGATTACTGATGTTGTTTTATGAAATCTTTCCCTATGAGCTATCATGACTTCAAATATTTTCTTTTTCCATTTCCTGATCATGTCACTGTCCTGCTTAATGGCTTCAATGACTAGTGCCCTCCAGCTGACCTGTAAGTCTCGCATGAATGGTCTCCTGTGGGTCTCCCTGTCGATTGCTCTGCTCCAGCCAAGCAAGCCCTCTTTCAGTTCACTGAATGTACCAACCTCCTTCCACTCTGAGCTCTATACATTTTGCAGTTCTCCTTTCTTGAAATCATTCCACTCAAACACCCCCTCCCATACCTGACCAAATCCTTCCTCTGCAAATCTCATTGCCTTGGGGAAGCATTCCCTAAAGCCTCATGCTACACCAGTTTCCCCTGTTACACATTTTTATATTACCCTATCCTTACCTTTCATGGCACTTAACAAAATTACATTTGAAAAACTATTAAATATATGACTCCCTTGGTAAATTTAAAACTCAGTGAAAATAGGGGTCATCTGTATCTTATTCACTATTATATCACCAGGAACTAGTCTGGCATAATATCTAGCAGCACATCACAAGGCTTCCACATTTTTCTAAAAAAGGATATCAGGTAGATGTATATGTATGTAATAAATAGGTAGATGTATATATAAATAAAATATTACCTTGTAATATTTTTAGCAGTAGTTCATTAGCTGCAATCACCAGTTGTAGTTGTAAGTAGAGTAATTTTTTTTCAAGTGGCATATAAGAAATTAATATTTAAAAAGATCAATTTAAGAAATTTTTTTAAGACTGAGGAGCAATCTGGTTGTTTATTCATATTTTAGGCATTTTTAAACTTGTTAGCTTTCTGGAATTTTTTTTTTTTCCTTTAGTAGAAGAAGAATGAATTAAGAAAAGAAAACAACACATTTTCATAGTTTTTTTATTAAAACATTGTACATAAATTCATTAGGCACTTAGATATGTATTCTATTCATCACAAATCATTAAGGTCAATACTGACTTTTTTCAGAATGATACCAATTTGGCTGACTTGTTTTGTTTTGCTTGTTTTTTTGCCTTATATACTTCAATTTTGAATTTCAACAAATTCTTTCACTCTGTTTAAAGCAGAACAATTTTGAATTTCAACAAATTCTTTCACTCTGTTTAAAGCAGAACAATATTTGCTGTGAATTTTTTATTTGCTAGATTATTTTTTAATTAGTTATGAATAAATACATTTATATTTCTTATTCTTCTCCAATGCAGTCATATGAAAGAATCAAATACAGGAAAGGGGAGCAGGGATGGTTAAATTATTTTCATACGTTTTATATTTTTATATCACTGATCATACAAGAGATAAAATAATAAATATGAATAAAAGTAAATTTATATTGGCATAACATTCTATACTTTCTAAAGCATTTTCATATGCATCATCTTAGTGCTTTCTTAGTTCGAAAGAAACCTGGAGAGAAAGTTAGACAAGTATTAAGGTGTGCTAGGTCAATGTCACAAGTCCCATTTTGCTGCAACTGTAATTAACGAAGGTAAAGAGACACAACTAATGTTGTACAGCCAGAAAATGACAGCAGCTTGTCAGTTGTCTCTTTCTTCTGATTTCCAGTTTGAGAATATTTAAGAAAAAAAAAAAAAAAAAAAAAGAATCTATGTCAATATGTAGATTAGCCACCAAAGTATAATTAATGAATACCTTTTAGGAAGAGGTAGATCATAGTGGTTAAGAAAACTATCTGAGTGGGATCCAAGATTTCTAGCTGTGTGACTTGTGTAGGACGCATTACCATTCTGGGCCTTTGTTCAGTGGTAAAATGGAGCAGCGCCTGCCACAGAGGATTGTTTTGAAGGTAAAGTGATTTAATATAGATACAAGACTCAGAATATTGCCAGGGGCACATAGCTCATAGTTAACTTTTATTTAAATTAAGTTTCAATTAAAATTAACTATTTTCGGGGCGCCTGGGTGGCTTGGTCGGTTAAGCGTCTGACTTCGGCTCAGGTCATGATCTCACCGCCCGTGAGTTCGAGCCCCGCGTGGGGCTCTGGGCTGACTGCTCAGAGCCTGCAGCCTGTTTCAGATTCTGTGTCTCCCTCTCTCTCTGCCCCTCCCCTGTTCATGCTCTGTCTCTCTCTGTCTCAAAAATAAATAAACGTTGAAAAAAAAATAAAAAAAATAAAAAATAAAAAAATAAAATAAAATTAACTATTTTTAGTTCGCTATTTTAATTAGCTATTTTTAATATTATTATTCCATTAAATAAACAGGTCCCAGATACTGATGTTCCAATTTCATCTAAGAGTATTGTTTTATAATTTTGCCTGATGGTACGTTGTTTAATATAAAAGTTTACTAAAATGTTTAATTCATTTCCTCTTTAAAACATCAGTAAATGTAAGAATTCTTTGTTAAAAATCAAATGACATTTTCCAAGTTGATATATGTGGTAAATTAAGCCATTTCTGTAGTTAGTCTCACTAAGACTAAATAATATATATATTTTTTGTTTTCAATTCATAGTGACATTCATTGAATATTGCTACCCAAATACCTTACTTATCTTTCATGTATGAGGAGGTCTGAGGGTAACCTCAGCTAGTTTTAATTTCTAGGATGATTTCTAGGATATATATTGATTGGTTAGTATTTATTATTATCTCTTATATGGCGTTTGCATGTTAGTTTGTGCATTAGATAAAACTTAATATGTTTTTCTGACATGCCTGTACAGAGAATTTCTATGTACACAGAAGCAGAGAGAAAGAGAGAGAAAGAAGGCAGATTAA